AAAATATGGTCCTTACCATAATTATCATTACATGAACACATATGTGTATTAGTGGCCAAAAGAAAATATAGGTGCCATCATACCACTGCACTCTTACTATTTGCAATTGCTATTATAGTTTATCTTAGTTATACGTAAACCTTTATAAAGCTGTGTAAACTGCTTTATAAAGCAGTGTAAACAAAAACACATATAAGTACATACATGGCAAACATATATGCAGTATCTTTGCATATCTATCTATATCTATCTATATCATCTATATCATCTATATCAATATCTATATCTATATCTATATCTATATCTATAGCTATATCTATATCTATCTATATCATATATCTATCTATCATCTATATCTATATCATCTATCTATCTATCTATCTATCTATCTATCTATCTATCTATCTATATATCTACATATATATACATACTCACCTGAGTACTTATATGGCAATACACAGATTTGATCCAACAAAGAGAACTTCATAGACACGCATTTCATAGATGTGAAAAATCAGAATAATTTTTTTTTTTTTTACCAGGAGAGAACTTTGCTGAGAGGAAAAGGCTGACCAGATTAGAACAGCTGGGACAGTGCTACTCTTGGGACTAAGGGCATTTAAAAAGATTTTGTGTGTTTGCATCACAGGAAAATAAATTATTTTTATAGTAACTGATAATTTTGCACAAGGTGCCTCATTGAAAAGAGAAAATGTAACATTTAGGGAATTGCTTAACCTAAAAATTGTAAGTCCATTAAAGGGCCAGATGCCACTTGATGATGGATTCATGGCCGAGGAAGGTACTAAACACTACACCTCTGAAGTGTCAATCTGTTCTTATGAGATACTGACTGCATACAATCCAGAAAAGTAGGTCACATGGAATGCTATGACCATCTCAATAATTTTTTTTGTATTCTAATCCAATTCTTATATATCTAGATAAAATAGATAAGATTCTTATCTAGAAGGTAGGTAGATACACCAAGACATTCCTATCAAATACCCAAGAATTGTTGATTGAGGTGGGAGATGTTTTCTGGGAGGACTGTCACACAACTAGCACTTGCCATATTGAATCAGGAAGCACTGAGGCAGTTCAGTAGCACAGGAATAAAATTATAAATGAAATCTCACTGTAAGAGCTATGTTTCCCAGTGCTCTTCATATTTTAGAGTTACATTTGACATTAACTGGAAATTTAAAAAACACCTCAGCATATAACTTGGGGCAAGAAGGAAGGCAAACACAGGATATTCATTATTTCCACTCCATGAACATAAAGACTATGAATATGTGAACTTTGGGAATCTTCTAAGGGTACAAGAATTTCTTTGAAACAGCAGCAGTTTTGTCTGTCAGTACTGACATGATGACTATGATTTTTTTTTTTTTAATATAATGCCAGTACTTACGTCAGAATAGGGTATGTAATACTCTATAGAAATAAGAACCTTTAATTCATTCTGAAAACTGTATCCAGCTCTCTTATGTTTTTGTGGTTTTGTGTTATGGGGCCCAGAGAATAATAATACTCTCCTAGCCTCTATACCATTCAGATTTACAGGACATCTAGATCATATCCCATTGACTTTTTTTTTTTCAGGTTAATGAATAACTATCTCTTCATACAAAAGATGTTCCATATTTTTGCCCTTCTCTGTACTCTTTTATAAGGTCCATGGTGCACCTCTTGAACAGAACAATACAGGAGATATTTAGTACTCAAAGGGTGAATATATATTTTGGTTTCTTCTGGTCTCTTCACCAGAAGACCCTATGGTTCTTCAGTGTCAGTGTTTCTGATACACTACAGACAACTCTGTTAACTAGGATCATATGGAGGCATCTGAAACCACAGGCTAACCAGGGTCCTAGAGAGCACACTGATTTTTGGTGTAAGGACATTCAGTATCTCCACAAAAATGCGGACAAGCCTGAATCAGCTTACGTTCAACCAATTAAACCTTGGTTATTTGTAAAAGCTAAGATCCAACTGGACTTAGTTGTTCCAGTTCATGCAAGCCATGTAGAATTTGGATTGCCCAGCAGATTAACTCCATGCAATTGCATGGTTCCTAAGGGCTATTTGTAAAGTGAGGTACAGAGACAGTCCCAGCTATAGTGACATCATTGTGTGTTGCTGGTTTTCACCACAAAATCCTGAAATTTGTGATGCTTGGGAACAAATAAATAGATGATGAATCCAAGAGAAGAAGACTTCTATTATTGTCAATTCTTTCTCAATTTAAAATTGCCTGAATGGCTGAGCTGTCACTGGAAATAGTACAGCTAATCTGTCCTGGAAAGACAAGCCTCTCTGTGATTCAGTGACAATCTCCAATGTCTGGCATCTCTCCACTGAACAGAGTAGATACTATGAGACTGGGCAACTGTGTTCACTTTTGCAGAGAAAAAAATTATAAATAAATGGAATGCCAAGGAAATTGCTAATGACGAAAAACCAACCAAAATTCAGTGAGTCTAGTTGCTATATCTCCAGATTCTCTCTTCTTTCACTTAAAATATGCAGAAAACACTCCTATTATGTCTCATCAAATCATTAAAAGGCTTACATTTATATTTACACGGTATTTTTTTTTGGCAGAGCAAAATTGCAGCTGTATGTGGCTCTGAAGCCACCAGGAAAACTAAAAGCCCAATTTTTCTTCTCATGCTGATCTAATAAAAAGTCACTGTAATCACCAGAATGCTGGATAGAAAGGCAGACCTTTCCCAGTCTTGATCTCGATTGGTATATATTGCACACAAAGACAGCTACTAAGAAAATTCAATCTGCATGGAATTTTAGAAAATGAAGACATTGGAGAGTTCTACTGAGACCTCTCAGTATACATAAATACTATCTTGACATCTTCATTACATAAAAAGCTCTCTAGTTCATTGCACAAAATAAGATTAGTGTTAAATAATTTAAGGGATTGTCTTGTCTCTTGATAGTATTATTACTATTGTTTCAAACATTGATTATTTTGTATTTATTTCTATTATTCATTTAATCCTTATGTTTACAAGTTTTGCCAATAGTACTAAAGGTGTTTTCTAAAGTAAATGCTTCATTTGCATAATTTCAAGCAAGAGAAAAAACAGACAATCTAAACTTCACTGACTAGATTTGAAAGATTTCTCATTTATAATACTCTACCGGTTATAGCTATGTACACACAAGCAGAATCAAAATTTTAGTACATAAAAAACATAAAGACTACAATTCTTTACTGCAATTTAAGAGATGACAGAATAAATTCTCCACTTAAAATACTTTCTTACATCTCCTGGGTTATTCCAGTATTTCTTCATTTGAGAATATCCTTCTGAAAGGGAGAATGTATTTTTTTTTCATTTGGGATGACTCAGAGAAAAGTACAATCCAAAGAGACCTCACAGAGTCATCCATCAATCACATTGTCTTAACCCAAATTAGCTGTACTTTACTTGATTGATTAAATTACTTCACCCAGATCATCTGTTCAACTAGTTCCTTGTATGCACAGTTACACTTTGTTTTTTAATAAATTATAAAAATCACATTGTAGTTTGATTTCATTCTGCTTTTTCTGACTGACTATGGGAATAAGGTGTACCTTAGCGCAAAATGTTTTTCTTGTTCCCAAAGACAGGTATACAGATGTGCTATAAACAGAGTACATATTATGGTTTACATGAACAAACTCTACTGTTGTTCTATTTTAACTCTAAAAACAAAGAGAAAAAACTCCACTACTTTAGAAAGCTAAAGAAAACTTTAGCTTTAGAAAGCTAAAATTTGGACTACTCTGCAAGGAAGCACAGGGCCCAGGTTCTTCTTGTTAAGGAGTTATTCTGCAAGAATAATGTTAAAACCATCACAAGTTGAAGGTGAAACTCCCCATGAATCAAAAGCTTGATGCAGATGAGTGAGCTGGACATCTATCTTTAGCAACAAAATATGCTAATTCGTGATACCCTCAATCAGCTTCCTAGAGAGAATCAGTAATATGGATCCCTGTTTTGCTGTCTTTCCTCTTATCATTCATTTATAAGGCATAAGCTAGAGCAAAGTACCTTACTGAGATTTTTAGACATGAGATAACCAATATTTCTTTGTTATTTTGTCTTAAAATGTAACTAGAACTTTTTATGCTCATCAAGACTAAATTATTTGTTTGCCTCTATCTATACCTGTGTTTGTAATCTCTAGTTTATGATCACTGTTAGCATGTAAGAAAGGCACAACTTCACTTCCAGTATTATATTTCAGTACATTAAACCTGACCGTCTTCAAAAAAATTTCTAGTAGCATGTCCAAACAGAGCTCTTCTCATCACTTGGCTGCTAATCGTTGTCTTGGTCCAAAACATTAAAGAGTATTGAATTTGAAGTAAGAAATCTTTCATTTCTGAACAGAATAAGCTTATCATTGTCCTACAGCTGCAGAGGAGATTTTTTCACATTTTTAGACAATCATTTCCTTTTACTGTACATGATGCAGTACAGTTTGGTTGCAGAAGCTTGTCATGGGGCTGGATGTGCTAGCATGAGCCAAATGCTAAAAGTTTATCAGTGGCTGGGCCAAGAAATTCTGAAAGGGTACCACGTTAACATACTAAGCAGACAACCACCTTTTGCTGTCTATCCCATAAAACTATGTTACTGGGGAAAAAAAAGGGTAACTTTACTAACCCATCACAGGATTTTTTTAGAATATTCAGATCTTTAATTCTTTTTATTCCACTCCTAACTTTGGATATAACCCCATTTTGTCCAACTCTTTTAGCTATATAACCCATTCCCTGTAATGAATTGGAGCAAATGTCAAAAATTTCTAGTTGTATGGTGTGGCATTTTAAAAAATAAACTATGGCTATCAACCACAAACTTCTATAATCAAAGCTCCCTTTACTTTTTCTCACATTGTCCATGAACAAAAATTCAGTCTAAGAATGGTATGCTGAATGAAACAACCAATTAATAAAACTGCAAAAAAATATTACTTACTTTTCAAAGGCCATTGAAAGCGTGTGTTCCTCTGCACACCTGCAGCAAAAAGAACAAGCTATTTGGTTGCCTAAACACAGAAATTAAATATATAGGACAGGACAGATAATGATGCTTCCTGATAAGTTTCCCTCTCTCAAAAAAAGAATGCTGTAAATGACAAGGATTCTGAATAAAAAAATGGGATTTTATGCTAGGCCCAAAGATTATATATTGGCAAAAAGGTGACGAAGGGTTGAATTATTTTAACCAAAAAGATGTTCTAAGTGACCTGGGAAAAGCATAAGGAGACATATTACTCTTCATATACCAGGAATAAAACAATCTAGAAATTATGAAACATGAAAATATGTCATCCAGCTTGCTGCACAACTTCAACTACATATACTTAGACCTCCATAGTTTTATAAATATATATATATATATCTATATTTACAAATAAAAATGACAAAGGAAAAAAAGTAGACCTCAATTCCCCTTTCTAATAGGAATTATTATTAATAATGGACTTTGTCAAACTGCTGTACCTCTAATAATGAGTCACTTTGTGTTTCTTCTGTTTGTTTCATGTACCTTTTTAAAACTAAAATCTCAGATGCAAATTTCCCTACATCAAATTGAGAATAATTAGATCTCTGTTTATGTGAAAAAACTTCATCATGTGCAAACTTCCAAAAATAATGAGAATATATCTATGTGAGCAATTTTTAAAATTTGAATCTATCCATCTAGTGCCATCTATGCATCTGTCAAGTTAATTGAAAAAGCCTAAATTGAATTTTCCTCTCTTAAAATTTATAAAAAACATTGCATTCAACTATGTATCCAATCAGTGTTAATGATGGCCACATGGCTGATCACAGAATTACGCAAAAAATTAATGAAATTCAATAAATCGGGTCGAATCAGGGGAATATTTGGAAGGGCAAGCCAAGCATCTTCAGCAAATACAAACTGCTAAAATTAAAAAACTGCAACTCATACTGTATTGAACCATAACAGAAAACATTTATCAAACAAAGGAGAAGAATAACCTGAGAGTAGAGACAGTTCCTGCTTCTTAAATTCTGAATAGTCTGCTAAGTCTATCTAAATTAACTAAAAAGAGCAACAGAGGGGAGAACTACTGAAGGGAATGCACAGGCTAAAATTAGGATTACAAATTCTCTAAAACACAGATAACCTTAAAATACCTGGACAAACACCATATGTATAGACAGCTAGAAATCCTCCTGCAAGATTGCAAACCAAGCTATATCAGTCCAGATCTGGCTTAATACTGATCCTTCAGTACCAGTTTGCTACAAAGGGGTATTACAGATTCAGTAAAGATGCTGCAGTGTGTTCATAACTAGATTTACAGATGTTATTATGGATAAACAATTGCCTTTAATGCTAGATGAAAATTATCCCAAATGGCAATTAAAAGAAAGTAGGCCTTGGCTGCGGAATAAAATTAATCACTGAGGTATACATATTACATATCTGTTATTCTAGTTGTTGCTCTAATTTTATTACACTGCATTCCCATGTGCAATACTGGCCATAATAGAAATAGAAAAACACTATGCCTGAACATGGAAAATTATATGAAATATTAAAAAAAATTCCAATATTAATGAGGAAATAGAATGCAAATATTGTTGGAATTTTACTTGCATTCGTCCTCTAGCCATAAAGCATTTAAATGGCAATGACATCACTAGATTACATGATAATCAGGTAAAGCAATGAAAAGTTACTGTAAGATGGACCCTGAGAATATAATTTAGGGCTAAGTGTACTAAAATTTTATTGTTTTGGTTTGGTGGGGTTTTTGGTATTTTGGGTTTTTTGTTGTTGTTGTTGTTTGTTTTGTTTTTTCCTTTTTTTTCCCAATTTGGATGTTGTTAGAAAAGTTAAAATAGGAATCAAATAGGAAGCCAAGACCAGAGTGCAATGCTTCCTTTGATTCCATTCTTTTAAACAACAGGTATATTACCCTACAAATACCATGGCACTAATTTGTGCCACTTCTTCATTGCCTTTATTAAACAGAGAAAAATGAAATCAGGCAAGAATTATTAGTTACCCGTTATACAGGACTGAAGCAAAGCTCTTTCCTTACTAGACAAGTATGTCTATTATGGTTATCCAAAAGAATCTCCTACCAAAACCAACCAGATATTACTTTTGGTGCAGTACATCTGATGTACATCTATGCAACTGGAGGCTTCAGCCTGAAGGGACTCTATCTCACCTCCCATTTTGGAAGAACTTCTTGTCTGTTGTTTTAGTAAGTTTCCATAAATACATGAATTTTTAAAAATATGGAAACAGATCATAAAGTTCTTACATTTTCATTTATCTACATAGTAACCCTCAGTGGAGACTTTGCTGGCTATCACAGTAATGGCCACTACTGACCAAAATAATGATATGCAAATGAGAATGCTTTCCAATATGTAAGAATTAAACATTTAAACTTGGAAATAAATAATCAACAGTATTCTTGGATTTGGATGTTGCTACTCTACAGAGCCATTAATTTTGAAGAATTAAGAATTTTGGGACAGTTAAAATGATAGTTAAATTAGATGTTGCTGAGTTAGCAGAAGTAGATAAATAGGCTTTGTTCATAGTTAACAGTACCAAGATATCCAGGATCTGTTAACTCATTGCTTATCGACTTTATGTTTGGGTAGCTCTGCTTATCATGAAAAGCAGAATGCGATAAACAGATCTCAGGGACACAAAAACAGTTGCAGACTTCCCACACTTGAGTGACCCATTGAACACAGGAGACTACAAGTTCTACCAAGGATTCATTTGTCACGTATGTATGGAAAAGGTAGAAAGATCAGAACGAGGAAGAGTTACTTTACTTCTTAATTTTGGAGACCCCTCCCCAAAATGGACCTCCAGCTCACTTCAGAGACCAAAACTATGCATGCTTAATAGCCTTTTTGCCAATTAGCATACAGAGTGGAGCAGAGGAAGTGACAGGGATATGAATATGCATTCATATTTTGTGTATTCAAGACTTCTGTAAATAAAAAGGCTTTGTAATACCTGTGACTTTTGCTGTGCACATTAGGGAATTATGCCACATACTGCCTGGACATTGCAATAAACATACATTTTCTAACTTTAAACTGTTTGAGAGTTTTTGTCCATCTCAGTTGGATATCGATATTAGATTGATATTCATATTTTAGTAAATCACTACCAAACTTCCAGTTGTTTAAAAGAACTATTAAAAATTCATAGACAAATTATTTGTCTTTTGAATATACATGGTACAGTATGGGGGAAAGTGAAATAAATGCAGGAGGCTAAGAAGAATTTTTCCTTGTGTTAGTGTTGATATAACAATAATCCTCCTAAATGAACATATAGCTATAAGTTAGCAAAGAAGTTAGCAAAGAGTTTGTGTAGAAGACCATGAAATGGGATATTTCCTTTAATTTCTCCTCTTGCATTTGGGAAACCTACAACAGAAATGTATGCATTTCAGTCCTTCCTCAAAGAGCTGGGACTGAATTTTCTTATCCTAAGCAGAGTGAGAGATGAGGATGAGCTATCTCAGCCACTCTTAGTTAAATAAAATCAGTATCAAGGGGTTCTCTGTCAGATCTTTATTACTGCAGCAAAGTCAGTAACCTTCCTGTTTTATGTTGGGTCTCATATGAGCCAAAAAGAAAGGGAAAGGAGATGGAAGGAGAAGGTAGGGAAGGACTTATGTAACCGATATACCAATGCACAATGCAGTTTTGAGGCTGAATCTTGCTGTTTCCAATGTGACATTTTTCCATCTGGAGGCATCAATTGAAAAAAAAAAAAAAACAAACACTTCACGCTTTTCTTGTTTATAGTTGAACAATCTCTAATTGAGATCTATTCTAGTTGTATAGAAAATTTCTGCTTCCTTTAATGAAATCTATTGCTTCCTAAAACCAAAATAAAAGCAATCCTATTATAACTATTAAAATTATCTGTTTATATTATCTATCTATAAAAATTATCTGCCTATAAAAATTCCCATAAATTTTGTCAAACTATCACTAAAGACACAATTCTCAAAGCAGAACCAGCTTACTGGAATTGAACAACACTGAAAATATGATGTCAATCTTTGATTTTTTTTACAGCAATCTAGCAGAATAACAGATATTTTAATATAATTATTCATTGGCACATTATAGTATACTCAGTGCTTTCCCTGGGACATAGTTGAGGCAAATGGCAAAAGTCCATGAAGGAGTAGACAAGATGAAGCCTGCAGAAAAAAAAAAAAACGTGAAAAGATAATAAAAAATTCCCCTGGGACTTCAAGTCTGATAAGAGTTTGGGAAGGGATTAGAAGAAGAAAGACAGCTGACAGTGCTTTGTGGCATTTCTTTCAAGGGCAAGAATATGAGCTCTGTCAGCTTCAAAATAGGCAGACTGTTCACTCTCCATCTCTGAGCCTGTGTGTCAGGGCGTGAATAAGGTGTGACATTTCTACCTTTTCCCATGCTCTTCCCTCATCTCTTTTTACTTATATACACTTACTATAGTGTTCTTCACAGGTGTTATGAGATTGGAGAAGCAATATGTACCAACTCATCCATCCTGTCTGATCACTGAAAAAAATTGTCACAGTTGTGTGTGATCCAGCACAACTCTATGGCAACAACTGGGCTGGAGCAAATCCTAAATGGATGTCTACATCTTGGTAGGAAAAATTCATTCTTCCACCCATAAAAATTGAAAAGAAAAACCAACCAATTTCATAAACCAGTAACCCTACACTGAGAGGCCATTTCCACTAGCAACAGCTACTTTTGTGTACAAAAACTTTTTTTTTGTTTTAATTTTATTATGCCTTTTACTGTTTTTTAAGGTTGCCCCTACATATATTATTAAGAGAATGCTGATGAATAGTTTTCAGTTGATGCCATACTAATTTCCTTATACAATATGTGAATTATACTACTAAACCAATACTATGTCTATATACAAGCAATCCTTATGCCAATGGTCTGAGGTACAGGGTCATGTAGTATGCATGTACGGTA